ATTGCTTCTGTGCTGTCTCTACTTTGTTTTGCTTTGTGCCCTGATCCCTGGAGCTCCAGGTCTTTCAGACCTGGCTGTTCAGGGAATGCGCCACACTTTCTCTCTTCCCCCTCCTCCTGCAAGGATCTTCAATTGGGAGAAGCACCTTCTTTCTTTCTTCTGGTCTACTGCCTGACTCCTGAGGTTCTGACCTGTGGTAACTCTTATTCATAGATTACTCCCTCACATGTGCTTGTGTGCAGGTTGGGTGTTATTTGTTGAGTGTTAGATGTTCAGCTTATTGTTATTTCAAGGGGAGAGCTCTGGGGACATCTCTCACTCTGCCATGCTTCTGACATCCTTGTTTTTTTTGTTTGTTTGTTTAGTTTCGATTTTTATTGTAAAGTGCTCATTTTGTTCATTGATTTTATTCCTGAACTCATTGAATTACTTTTCTGAGTTTTCTTTTATCTCGTTGGGTTTATTCAGCACTTCATTCTTGAATTCTCTGTCATTTAAATCACTCTTTTATGTCTTAAGTTTATTTTCTGGAGATTTTTCATATTCTTTCTGATCTACCTCGTTACCTTGTTATTCATTGTGTTTGATGGGTTATTTCTCTGGGCATTTGTAGGAATAAAATGTTTTGTTTGTTTGTTTGTTTTTTAAGTATCTGATTCTTAAATGTTTAGCATGTTGACTAGTAGAGGTATTTCTTTTGTTTTCCAGTAGGTGTTGCTGTATTACAAGTTTTTGCTTTTTCTTACCTGCATAACTGGGGTTCGATCTCTGTGGAGTGATGTCATCTTGGCCATGGAAAATGGCCTGTATTTCCTGAGGAGGTGGGTATCCTTTTTATTACTCGGTTGTTTTTCTGGCTCAGGGCACCACTCGTTTTATGTTGTGGTAATCAATGGACTCCTGGTCTGTGTGTTCCCAGCTTTGCTTTCTTGCAGCCAGAAGCCACCAGCCCCCAACTCTAAATGTGTATCACCTACCTCAGGAAGTTGGTTCATGCATCTTTGGCTCTGCTCTTTCCAGTGGCTTTAGCCACAATGAGAACAGACAACTTGGCCTGTAAAATTGCCTCTACCTTTTTGTGATCCTTCAAGTGAAGGTTTTAATTCTGGGCATGCGACAGGAGGGTAGAAAGGAGTGTTTCTGTGTCTGAGGCTTTCTATGTCTGGTGATTGCAGCTTGTTGAACATTGCCATCCTTGCCTCACTTCTCTGTCCCTGACCTCACACTCAGTCTCAATGTGTACTGGTCACCCAGGCCTGATTACTGCTGCTTCACCTCTGTTCTTCCAAATGGGAGGTTGCACCTTGACCCTTCACTGCTATTGCATCCACTGGAACTGTGGCAAGTGCCTGAGCAGTCAGGCATCTCCTGTCTTTGTTCTTCCTCCCTTCCCACTACCTCCCTGCTTGCTTTGATATGCCCACCTGCAGGTGACTCAATGTGTGGATCCCTCAGTTGTGTTTTTGTATTGAGCAGGGAATCCTTTGTTGAATTATAGATGTCCAACTTGTAACTTCAAGGGGAGAAACCTGGAGGTCCTCTCACATCACCATACTGTTTATGTTACCAGTACCTCATTTTTATCAATGGATAGAATATCTAGACAGATGATCAATAAGTAACTGGAGGACATGAACAATACAAAAAAACCAACTAGCCCTAACAGACATACTTGGAACACTCTACCCAACAACAGCACATACACATTCTTCTTAAGTGCTTATGGAACATTCTCCAGGATAGACCCTGTGTTAGGCCATAAAGCAATTTTCATTAAAAACAATTGAAAGCATACAAGGTATCTTCTCTGACCAAAGTGAAATGAATCTAGAAAATAATAGAAAGAAAACTGAAAACTTTGCAAACATATTGGAATTAAATGACACACTCTTATACAACCAATTTGTCTAAGAAGAAATCACTGAGGAAATTAGAAAATACTTTAAGACAAAGGAAAATTAAAACACAACATACCAAAATTTATGAGAGGCAATGAAAGCAAGTGCTTAAAGAGACATCTATAGGTGTAAATGTGTACATTAAAAAAGAAAATCTCAACCTAACATTACATCTTATGGAACTAGAAAAAGAGGAGCAAACTAAACCCAAAGCCAGCAGAAGAAACACAATACAGATGAAAACAGAGATAAAAAAAATATAGAATTTTAAAAAACAATAAAGAATCAATGAATCCAAAAGTTGGTTCTTTGAAAAGATAAACAAAATTGAAAACCTTTAGATAAACTGTTTAAGAAAACAAGATACAAATAACTAAAATCAGAAATGAAAGTGGGGACATTACTGTAGTTTTTAAGAAAAAACTACAAACAATTGTACACCAACAAATTAAATAATCCAGACTAAATGTACAAATCTTCACATACACACAAATTACCAAAATTGACTTCAGAAATAGAAAATCTCAATGAACCTATAACCAGTAAAGAACTGAGTCAGTAGTTCAAGACAGTCCGCCACCCCAAATTCACCAGTAAATTCAAACATTTAAAGAAAAATTAACACCAATTCTATTCACTCTTCCAAAAAATAGAAGAGGAAGGAATACTTCCTAACACATTATATGAGGTCTGCATAATTCTGGTGCTAAGGCCAAACAAAAATACCACTAGAAATGAAAACTACAGATGATTGTGTCTCATGGATATAGATATAAAACTCCTCAATAAAATGTCAGTAAACCAAATCCAGCAGTACATTGAAAGGATCATACAGCATGACAAAGTGAGATTTATCCCAAGAATATAAGTATTGTTCAACATAAGAAAAAAAATCAATGTAATATACTACATTAATAGAACAAAGCAGGGGGAACCCCACATGATCATCTTAATTGCAGAAAAAAGTATTTGAAAAAATGCAACACCATTTCAGGATAAAAATGCTCAGCAAACTAGGAATAGAAAAGAATTTTTTAACATAATAAAGGAAATTAATGAAAAACCCATGGCTAACATCATTCCCAATGGTAAAAGTCTGAAATCTTTCTAACATCAGGAGCAACAAGAATGTCTGCTTTCACCACTTGTATTCAACATTGTACTGGAAGTCCTAGCCAGAAAAAAATTAGTCAAGAAAAATTAATAGAGGGCATCCAAATTGGAAAAATGGAGTTGAACTATCTCTATTTGCAGATGTCATGCTTCTATTTATATAAAATCTCAAAGTATTCCCTCAAAAATAATACTACAGCTAATAAAAATAAGTTGTGTTTCTATACACCAGCAATTAATCCCAAAAGGAAATTAAGAAAACAATTCTATTTGTAATAGCATTCAAAAAAATAAAACATTTAGGAATAAATTTAACTGAGGAAGCAAAAGACATGTAGACTGAAAACTATAAAACATTGCTGAATAAAATTTTAAAGACATAATTAAATGGAAAGACATCCCCATTTTCATGGATTAGAAGACATTTTTGTTAGTCTATTACAGCTGCCATAACAAAATACCACAGACTGGATAGCTTAAACAACAGAAATTTATTTCTCACAGTTCTGGAGGCTGGATATCCAACATCAAGGTTTGATTTCTTCTGAAATTCCTCTCCTTGACTTACAGATGGCAATTTTCTTACATGGCCTTCTCTCTGTGTGCGCAAATTTCTGGTGTTTCTTCTTCTTATAAGAACATCATACCTATTGAATTAGAGCTTCACCCTTATGACCTCGTTTAATCTTAATTTACTACTTAAATCTCAAAATACAGTCACATTGTGGGTTAGGGATTCAACATATGAATTTTGGGGACAGAGTTCAGATTCAACGTAATCCCTATCAATATTCTAATAGTCTTTTTTTCAGATTGGAAAAGTAATTCCTCAAATTCATACAGAATTTCAAGGGGGCCCCTGTAGATTAAAGCTGAGCAAACCCCAAACAAGATAAATCCAATGAAATGTATGCCAAGAAATATTATAATCAAACTTCAGAAAACTTAAAGACAAAAAATTCTTGAAAGAAATAATAGCATTGTTATAGAGGAACAAGGTAGAGAGAGAAAGCAAGTTTTGTGTTCTTATAAGGGCATTATCCCATTAATGATAGTTTCACCCTCATGAACTAATTACCTTCCAAAAGCCCTAGTTCCTAATACTATCACATTGTGGGTTAAACATATGAATTTGGGGGGTTGGGAGTACAAACAATCCACAAAAAAAGCCACAGATATTATCCCCTGGAGCAATGGTTCTCAAAGTGTTATCCTGGACCGGCTTCATTGGCACTACTTGGGAACTTGTTAGAAATGCAAATTCCTGGGCTCCACCTCAAACCTATTTACTGAATCAGATATTGATGGTGGGTCCCAGCAATGGATTTTAACTAGCATTATTCTGATTTTCTGATAATCTGATCCATTACTGCCAATAATACTCAACCTTGTGAAGATACAACTAAAAGATGGTCATCTGTAACCAGGGTAAAGGCTTTCACAAAAATTTATCATGCTGGCATCCTGATCTTGAATTTCCAGCCTTCAGAACTGTGAGAAATGAATGCTTGTTGTTTAAGCCTAAATAAATAAAGAATAGCTAGAGGAAGTTCTTTAACAAGAGAAATGATAAAGGAAACATGGACTATCAGGAATGAGGAAAAAATAACAGTAAAAATATGGGCACATTTAATAGACTATCTCCTACTGATTTCTAATATTAGATCTTTCAAGCAAAAATGATATCTTATGTAGTTCTTAAGGTATACAGGAAATATTTAAAACAATTATACAATAAAGTAGGGAAATTAAAGGACCTCAGTTGAGATAAAAGGTTTTAAACTGGTTAAATGGTGACAGAAGTAGACCATGGTAAATTACGTATGTATAATGTAATACCTAGAGCGAACACTAAACATCTGTACAAAGAAATATACTTAAGAACTCTATAAAGTAAAATTCTTTAAAAAAAAAATGCTTAAGTAACCCATAGTAAAAAATGAAGTGAAACAGGAAGAAAAAAAAGTAGAAAACAAATAAAACAACCAATAAGATGGCAAATGTTCATAGCAGTTTTATTTGTAATAACCAAAAGTTGGAAACAACACAAATGTCATTCAATGGCTGAATGATTAAAGAAATCGTGGTATATCTTTACTTGGAAAACACCCCCCACCCCAAAGGAATAAATTATTGTACCTGAAAAACTGGGATTGATCTCAAGGGAATTATGTCGAGTGAAAAAAAGCCAATCTCAAAAGGTTCTATAGCGTATGATTCCATTTATAAAACACTCTTTGTATGACAAAATTATAGAGAATAGGTTAATGGTTGCCAGGGTTTAGGAGTGGGGAGCAGGCAGTGAAAGAATGGAGACAACTACAAAGGGATAGAATAAGGGATCTCTGTGACACTGCAAGTTCTTTATCTTGATGTGGTGGTAGTTACACAAATTTACACGAGATAAAATTGTATAGCCACACATACACAAGTGCATGTAAAACCAGTGAAATATAGTAAGTTCTGTGGATTGTACCAGTGTCAAATTCGATACTGTACTATAGTAATGCAAGATATTACCATTAGGGAAAACTGGTTGTAAGGTACACAAACTAAATAGTACTATATGGTGTTACTTCTACAGCTTTCTATAAATCTATTTCTAAATAAAAACATTTTTTGGAAGTCCCAGTAGAAAAAAATAGACAAAACATATAAATGGACTATTCATAGACAAGGAAATCTGAGTACCAAAAATACTTGAAAGGCCTCATTGTAGAACAGCTGTGGTACAGGAAGTGACCTTTCACATCCACTGAGTCCTTACATGACACATTTAAATTGCCAGCACCTGCATCCCCACTTAAAGATCCAGAATCCAAAGAAACCTTTGTTGAGGTACATTAAAATCGCTTCTACTCTTATGTTGGTAACTATCCTTGGCTTGACATGTTAGAATCACTTTTTATAGTATGCACAAATGATCTCTTCCTCTCAATCCGAAACCAACCCAAATGTAGATTTTTTTCACCCAAATGTAGAATCAGTTATCCCAACAACTGAATTATTTTTGTTTCTTTACTACTTTCAACTAGAAAAATACTTGTTTGTAATAAAAATTAAAATTAAAAAAAAAAATGGCCTCAAACAAATGTTAGATACTGATTTTTATTACCCTAACATTATAAGGACATGGTAAGCAAAGCATTTTAATTCAGGTTTGGTTTGTGTAATAGCAAAGAAAATTTTCTGTAAGTGTTAGTATCTAATAAAAAATAAGAATCCATTTAAAACTGGTTTCTATAGGTCTAGGTTTCTTGAACCCATTTGATTCTTTTTTAGAGAAATGGGTAATAAAGAAAGGCAAAAAAGAATATCCCCCAAAAAGCAACATAATTTTTACAACCAGATGGTACCTGTCATATTTGTTTCATTCTTTAAGAAATATTACAGATAAATATAACTACTCCCTCCAAACCTTTTTCACTTCCTGAAAGTGGGACCCATGGTCATATATGGATCCATGGTAAACGAAGTACTGTTCTTTGCATTATTTTATAATATTTACACAAATATATTTTATTGTACTTTTTACTTATTATATACTGTGCTCTATCCCTGTATCTCTATGTCAAATTTGTATTTGCTAAATACTGTACTCTATCACAGAAATAATCACATCATATGGATTTACCCCTCTACTAATAGAAATTTATATCTAATTTAGAGTAATACAAACCATGATGCAGTGAACATCCTAGACATAGTAGACAGACATATCTTTGTGGACATGTGTGGGTGCCTCTGAAACCAATAAACCAAAATAGAATTGATTATTCCATATTTGTTTTTAAAGAAATCCTGTTACTCTAAAATATTTCGTTATAGTTTAAGAATTTGCTTTTTATATTCTGTTCTTCAATCTACTTGGATTTTAATTTATATATGTATATATGTATATAATTTTTCATTAATATGTCTTCCATTTATTGAATAGGCTATCTTTTCTTCAATTATTTCCATAGCACTATCATATACAAAATTCCCACTTCTCTTTCCTACAATCCTCGATTTGTTTCCACTGATTTGTTTACTCATGAAGAACACACTGTTTAAATTACACCAGCTTTAAGTATGTGATATCTAGTGACTGTCTTTGTTTTACTTTTCACATTTTCTTCAACCATGTGTAGTCATTTACATTAAAATATAAAATTTTGAATCAGTTTGAAATTCTTAAAGTATAACTAACTGGTGAATGCTGAGTTGAAGTACTTTATAAACTTAGAGATTTGAGAAACAATTTATATATTTTATAATGTTAAGTCTTTTCAGAGTGTTATTTTTCTAAATTTTAAGGTGTTTTTTTGTGTCCTTTGAAATGTTTTATAACTATATATAATGCCTTGTTTATTCTGAGATATTTCATATCAACACACTTTCTAATTATTTCTCATAAAAAAGGCTATTTTTATAGTTTCTCTTTTTTCCCAATCTTCCTTTTTTTGCTAATCCATTGGCTAGGAGCTCAAATATCATGTTGATAAGCAGATATCTTATTTCTAGTTTTAGGGAGAATATTATCAATAGATGTCTAAAGGTTTTTGATGATAAGCTTTTTCATTATACAATTTGTAACCTTGGTAAGAATTGTTCCGTAAATGTGACTTCTTCAATAGGCTTTCTCGCATTAAGATTTCCACTCTAGAACCAATTATGTAATGTGCAAGGAGGTGTTAATACCTACTGAAGTCTTTTCCATATTCAAATATTCATAGTGTTTCTATTTCTAATGAGTATGAATTCTCTGATGTCTAACAAGGTGTGACTTTTGGCTGAAAGCTTTACCACACTCATTACAATGATAAGGCTTTTCACCTGTATGTTTTCTCATATGAAGCGTAAGTGATGAGATCTGAGAGAAGGCTTTTCCACATTTACTACAGTCAAAGGGTTTCTCACCTGTATGACCTCGTATATGTATAGTAAGGGATGAACTTTGGGAGAAGGCTTTTCCGCATTTATTACATTCATAGGGTTTTTCACCTGTATGACCTCTCATGTGTACAATAAGGGAGGTTCTTTGAGAGAAAGCTTTTCCACATTCATTACACACATAGGGCTTCTCACCTGTATGACTTCTCATATGCAAATTAAGCAATGAGCACTGAGAGAAGGCTTTCCCACATTTATCACATTCGTAAGGCTTTTCCCCTGTGTGACTTCTCAGATGAAGCGTAAGGGATGCAATCTGAGAGAAGGCTTTACCACATTTATTACAATCGTATGGTTTCTCTCCAGTGTGAACTTTCTGATGTGTAATAAAATTTTGCTTTTGGCTGAAGGCTTTACCACATTCATTACATTCATAGGGTTTCTCTCCAGAATGAATTTTTTCATGAGCAATGAGATTTGATTTCTGGCTAAAGGCTTTGCCACATTCCTTACATATATAGGGTTTTTCTCCAGTGTGAATTCTCTGGTGTCTAATGAGATTTGACATCTGAATGAATGCTTTTCCACATTCATTACATTCATAAGGTTTCTCTCTAGTATGAATCTTTTGGTGTGTAATGAAGTTTTTCTTGTGGCTGAAGGCTTTTCTACATTCCTTACATTCATAGGGTTTCTCACCAGTATGACTTCTCATATGTACAGTAAGGGCTGAGCTTTGAGAAAAGGATTTTCCACATTCTTTACATTCATAGGGTTTCTCACCTGTATGAATTCTCACATGTATAATAAGCATGGAAAACTGAGAGAAGGCTTTTCCACATTTATCACATTTATAAGGTTTTTCTCCTGTATGACTTCTCATATGAAGGGCAAGGGATGCAATTCGAGGGAACGCTTTACCACATTCATTACATGCATAAGGTTTTTCTCCAGTATGAACTTTCTGATGTGCAATGAGGCTTTGCTTCTGGCTGAATGCTTTTCCACACACATTACATTCATAAGGTTTCTCTCCAGTATGAATTTTTTCATGATCAATGAGATTTGATTTTTGGCTGAAGGATTTCCCACACTCTTTACATGCATAGGGTTTCTCTCCAGTATGAATTCTTTGATGTCTAATGAGATTTGACATTTTAATGAAAGATTTCCCACATTCGTTACACTCATAAGACCGCTCCCTACTGTGAATTTTATGATGTTTAAGAAGTTTTTCCTTGTGGTTGAAGGCTTTTCTACATTTTTTACATTCATAAGGTTTTTCTCCAGTATGAATTCTCAGGTGTCTGATAAGATCCAAGGTTTGACTGAATCCTTTTCCACAATGATTACACTTAAAGGGGGTTATTACAAAATGAGATGAGCTATTGCCAAATGACTTTATAGGTTCACTATATTCACAGTATCCCTTTCTTATAAGGATTCTTTCATTATTATGACAGTCAAAATTATTATGTTCTAAACACTTTCCAAATAAGTTACAATCATAGAGATTGTGACTGGAAGGAAAAAAGTCTGAGTTTGGAGAAAATGCATTTGCAAATTTCTTATGCCATTCATTGACTTTTCCTTCAGTCAGTGTTTTTGTGACTTTATCTTCAAGTTGTGTCAAAAGTCTGTGCTGGATATTATGATGCTCATCAAGTCCCCATATTTCTCCTAGAATAGATTGCAAATAAGTATTACTTTTAATTTTTTCCATTATTATAACATCAAGATTTCGAAAAACTTGCTATTATAGGACTGGCTTAAGGCCTAGTTTACCACTATTAAGCAAATTCCAGGTACATAAAACTTTTATTCCTAAACTTCAGAAAATTTCAGGAAAGCAAATAAGAGTAGAGGCAGACATTTATAAGTATAGCTTTGATTGCTTTTAAGTGAGATTTGAAAGAAAACAGAAAAATTGTTGGATACATAAAAGAGAATGTAGAATTTACAAATAAAGTAAGAAGGAATGATGATAAAGAAAAAAACAGACAAGAAGTTAAAAATACATAATAAAACTATTTTGCAAGACACTATTGAAATATACTTTCACAAAATGACATGATAACTTTCTGGAAAATATAAATGACCAAATTTACTCTATAAGATATAGAAAACCTACATAGGCCAATTTCCACAAAATAAATAGAAAAATCAAAAAACAAAACAAATAGGAAAGGCCCAGAGAGATTAACCTGAAATTTTAACAAACATTTAATGGACAGCTCTCATGCTATGTAAAATGTTACCAAAGACGAAAAGAGAAGAATTCTTAATTTCATGTGATGAAACAAATAATAGTAATACCAAACCTGACAAAGATGACAACCAAAAAAGCAAACTATATGCAAATTTCACTTATGAATATCAATGTAAAAATTTTACATAAAATATCAAAATGACTCAGAAGAAAAAAAAGTTATCCAGAAGCACATTAAATATAAGCTATATCATACCTGAGATTCCCCCCCGCCCCTGCAGGAATATAACTATGTTGCAATATAAAAAAAATCCATTACTATAAGTAAATATATTAATAGGTCAAAAGTGAGAATTCAAGTAACAATTTACAAAGATATTTAATGATAAAATTCAGTATCTATTTTCCATTAAAAAACTCTTTATAAAATGGGACTAGACAGACACTTATTTGACTTAAGTACAGTACAACTTATACACCAGCACCATACTTAATGGGAAAAATCTCAAAGCAATCACGTTAAAGTGAGGAAGATGAATATTATACCACTATTATTACAGTATTGGATAGTACATTAAATATGGAAAAATCAGAGGTATAAGAAGTTGAAAAGGAAAGGTAAAATTAATGTTACTTGTTAACAATAAAATGATTTACCTGCAATATCGAGTCAATTGTAAAATTATTATAAGTAAGAAACTAATTAAATTCACTACATACAGTAAGTATTCAGTTTCAATAACTCTCACCTATACAAACAACTATTTACAAAAACATAAAAGAAGACTACAGGTACAAATGTTACAAAAATATGAAAAATCTGGGGAAAACTTTAATAAGAAATATCCCAAAATTATAAGAAAACTTTAAAATACACACACAGATTTGAACAATTAGAAAGTGTTATGAGTTGAACTGTGTGCCCCCACCACCCCCCTAAAAAAGACATGTTGAAGTCCTAATCCCCAGTACCTTGGAAATGTGAAGTTATTTGGAAATTGGGTCATTGCAGATGTAATTAGTTAAAATGAGATCATAGGGGATACCCTACTCCAATATGACTGGTGTTCTTATAAAAAGAATGTCACACAAAGAGATAGACAGGGAGAACACCATGTGAGGATAAAACACTGGAGCTATGATGCTATAAGTCAAGGAATGTCTGGGGTTACCAGAAGCTGAAAGAGGCAGGGAAGGGTCCTTCTCCTACAGGTTTCAGAGGGAGCATTGCCCTGCCGACACTTTGGTTTAGTATTTTTAGCCTCCAGAATTGTGAGAATAAATTTCTGTTATTCTAAGCACCTAATTTGTGGTACTTTGTTATGGCAATCCTAGGAAACTAAGACAAAGGAATATTCTATTCTTGGAAAAGAACATTCAACTGCAAAGATGACAATTACTCTCAAGCTAACCTATTAACCTAAAGTGGTTTCAATAAGAATGTTTGAAATTACAAGTAATAGCTCAAAGGAGAATGATGCTAGGGGTTGTCACCATAGAGGGAAAATGAGTAAGAGAAGAATAATTACTTTTCGATATATAACCTTGCACCTAAAAAACTGTACTATAAGCATGTATTATGTATTTTAATAAATAAATAAAATTGTTCTAACAAAGCAGTAATTAATAAACAAGAACAAACAACTAGAAGATAAACATGAAAGAGTTGGAACATAAAACTGAAAGAGCCTATCTACCATAATTGGATAGGGAGTAAGTATAGTGAGCAGGAAGAGAAACAAAGAGTGAGAAATTGAGCTTAAATATGGTATAATAAATACATGAATTTATCTATGATCACATCTAAAATTACACTAATATGAGATAAAGAAAAAAGGTATAAACTGACAAAGACAAAGACCATTCCTCTACCCCAGAGAAGATGAAAGATTACTCTAAAAACAAAATGGAAGCTGAAAGGCTCTAGAGTCAGGGACACCAAGCAGAGGAATATGGAGAAAAGGAACTGGCTAAGCATAGAGAGAATAAGTGAAATTCTACATACCGAAGGGTGAGACATACAGTCCCCTGTTGCTGCTTAGCTCCTAGATAGGAAAATGGAGATGTCACTCCCTCTCTGCCACACTGAGAATTATGTAAGGGAAAAATTCTCATGAAGTGGTAAAGCAGGTAAAGTTAGAGACCTGGTTGCAGACTATAAATGTAAAAAAGGCAGTGGAATATTAAGCTTTTGAGTCACTTCGATTAGGAGAAAAAGAAAAGCTCAGTTAAGCAAAAGATGTTGAGGAAGAAGGTAGGATTCGGTACTATACAAACAGAAGTGAAAAAGAACTCCAAAGGCAAGATGAAAATATCTAATGTTACAGAAAAGACTCCATGTTTTAAATGATAGAATGAAAAAGTATCTGATCTATTTTCCTCTTTACAAGAGTGAAGTTATTGATTCCTTTGCGGTGGCTGTAGCACAAATGATATTAAATGGGTTAGTGTTGACAAATACAGTGAAGGCTAGAACAGAGGAAGAAAGACTCTAAAAAAAAAAAAGCTGTTCATGCTGATCATGGGCAGAACAAGCAGCTGACAGTGTTGAAATGTATAACACATCTTGAATGGCAGAATTAATTATCCTTTGAATATAACATTGAAATTTGGGAGTGTAGACTGGTTACAGGAGACTTGATATTCCAAGATATGTCAGAGAAGCCAGGACTGAACAAGGAAACATTCTGAAGTGCTATCTTTTCAGGAACAAGTCTACTGGGGTGAGAGTGTAAGATTCAATTATGAGAAGACTTGCAGCTGCAGTTCCCTTTTGGATGAGAAGAAAAAGCCTAACCATACTTCTACATACATAACCATATAAAATAAAGGGCTTCAATTATGAAGCACAGGTGCATTCATATACATCGAGTTGACAAATTTTTTCTTAAAGGGTCAGATAGTAAATAATTTAGGCTTTGTAGATCATATAGGTTTTTTTAAAATTAAATAATTTTTTCTAATTTATGGTGACATTAGTTAACGAAATCCAACAAGTTTCAGCCATACACTTTAACAGTAAGGCATATATATATTTACATTGTGTGTTCATAGATCATATAGTTTTTGACACAACTATTTGACTTTGCTGTTGTAATGTTAAAGCAGTCAGACAAGATGTAAATGGGTGTGGCTGTGTTCCAATGAAAGTTTATTTATAAAAACAAGTGGCTGCCCTACAAGTCACAGTTTGCTAATCTCTACTTTAGATCATACAGCACTCATTTTCCTTCCTCGACATCACCTTTCTTTAAAGCAGGTCAAGAAAGAACTATCCTCACTCAAAAATGACAAGGTGCTGGAATCAGATCTATAAAAAGTATTACAAGAGAAAAAAAAGAATAGAAATATGATATAAAGAAAGCAGACAAAAATACAAGTGAAAGCCATTATGACACATACTAAATGAAAATCCTGACTAAATATATTGTCATGAATGAAAAAACTTAATGAAAATAGCACCTATGAGTCAGGAGTTCACAATATAAATACATGAGGAAGAAACAATAAGAAAACATAAGAGGATTAAAAAAAAATTTACTGGCAGACTGAGGAAAGAAATGAAAATAACAAAGCCACCTGGAACAAAGAACACCATGCAATTGGGAGGAAAAAAGACAGAGAGAGACTAGTTAGGACTTTTAGTATTGAAATTATGGTGGTGTAACCACACATTGCAAAACAACAAGATAATGAAAAAACGATGAATAACTGGGCTTATAGGAAGTAGCATAAATCATCTCAGAATACCTCAGTACTTTCCATCAACCACATCTGAGCAACACATACACTCAAAAGTGAACAAAACAAAAATAAATAACTTGTATCCAAAACCAGGACTGAGAGAGAAAATTAGAAAGCAAGCTAGAGAATGGATCTGACTTGTGTATCTATGCAAACAGAAGTCCTGTTTAACTGAAGCATAAGCCTTGGACCAGCAATAAGGAAGAGAAACTCAACTGAGGTTCCTACAAAAAGTAAAGACCCTCAAAGAATATTTAGCTGGTCCTCTCTTGGTAATGGCTGCTGGCATCCACCAAACATACATTCAAATCATCTTTAGAAGAAAGCAACCCAATTTAGGACAATAACATCAGAAATTAAGATTTTAAAATTTGAATTCACCATCGGCAATCATCAAGCATGTGAAGAAGCAAGTACAATAAGTGAGTCACTGAAAATAAGATATTTAAACCTAAGGACTTAAAATATTAGAACTGTTAGATACAAAATACAGAAGAGTGATGTATTTTTAAAGAAGCAAAGGATAGAAACAAAGCTGAACAAAACACAGAAATAATTAGAAAGGACAAGAAAGATGTGAAAAAACATGGCAAAAAAAAGGAATGTCTAAAAATATAAAATACTACTATTGAGAACAAAATTTTTAAATGAATGAATTAAAAAGACAAATAAAAACAGTTGAAGAGAGAATTCGTAAACGAGAAGATATATCTGAAGTAATTACTGAGAAGGCAATACAGAGAGGTAGGAAAGTAGAAAATAGCAAAGGAAATGAAAAACAATATATATGTAGGAAAAATAAAAAGGTCTAGAATCTACTTAATAGGAGTCCCAGAAGTAGAATACAGAGAATGAAGGAGAGCCAATATTTGATAAGACTGGCTGAGAAATTTGCAGAATAGAAAACAAATAAGAAAAGAACACTATGGGTAATTTTATAATAACAGATTTGAAAATACAGATGAAATAAATTGTTAAATATAACAGATGACCCTGGAACATCAATATATAGTAAACTTTTACAGATACAGAGAAAACAAATATTTATGAAAGTTATGTTATTCAAATTTGTTAAAATTAACTTGAAAATCAGGATTAAATGTAATTTTCTGGAAAAATATAACTTATTATCAAAAAGTAATACCAAAAGAGAAAAAAACCTACACTGAAGTTATAAAAGGAATAGTAAAAAAAAAAAAAAGCTGTCAAAGAGCCTTCACTCAATAGTCCGCATGGTCCAAATAGTTCAACAGGTAAAATAATCCAAGATTTTAAGGGACTTATATGCTAATGCTATTATAAGTGTTCCAGAACATGAAGAAAAGCTTCCAAATTCTATTTATGAAACCAATGTAAGATTGACTTCAAAGCTTGAAAAAGAACAATTATTTAAATTCATAGTAAAAGAGTGAGAATGAATCATTATGAAATAAACATAATTTACCCATTTATATAAAAGGAAAAAAATCATGGTAAATAAGAAAAGACTGTAACTACATGAACATTAAAAAACTCAAGGTGGGTAAAAGTACTTCAAAGAGGAATTGTACTTCAAATGACCAATTGTGAAAAAATACTAGAAAAACATATAGATAATGGGGTAATCACATTAATATGTTGAGTTCATAAAAATTAAGAACTCAACAGAAAAAAGGGCAAAAGACACAAATTGTTCACAAAGAAATATAGATTTTAAACATATGAAAAGGTTTGTTTGCCATCCCTTGTAATGAAGGAAATGCAAATTCAAACTACCATAAGTTATTTTGTACTTGGAAATATCTATCAAATTAGAAACACATATATTTTATATATGTATGTGTATGCATGTATATATATGCATGTACATATATGTATGTGTGTATACACATATCACATGCATACACACAAATATGAGTACACATACATGACAAATGTAGCAGAAAATGGGAGTTAAGATAAAAATAGCATGGTATTTAAAACTTTTCTTGAAGTGAAAGGGTTGTAGCTATTTCTGTAGTATGGGCACAAAAGCTAAAAATATAGTGGGAAGTATGATTATGGGCACAAAATATGATGCTAAGGTATTCACGATGAAAGGAACAAAAGAAAGCAGAAAGTAAAGAACTATAACTGTTAACAGGTTTATTTGAACAACTATAATTCCATGAATATGTGAAAGCAAAAAAGAAAGGATCTTATGTAAAAGGGTGGGCAGACACATGAAAGATGACCAAAACACAATGATTATCAAAGTAAAGCTGGAAATGTGTTAGGAAATATTGATATGTAACACGCAGGTAAACAGGTCAACTGATCTTTTAAGTTCCTTGGAAAGAAGTTCTGAGGAAAGAAGCATCTTATTTAGAAATAACATCTTAAATTTATAAAGAAATCACACTGATTGTCACTATCAAAGTCTACAGTCTTTAAGAAAATATCTTTGAAGATCATTTCAGAGGAATCGACTATTCACAGATTAACCATTAAAGTTTCCAGCCCCTCCTCTCTTGCCTGGTTCCCTCCCACTAACCTGGACAGTGTCTCCTTAACACTTCTTCCTCTACCACCCAGGGTTCTTCTTCTTGTTCCAGCTTGAAAATCACATCAGGTTTGGTGAATGGATAGCCTGCCAAAGGGAAATGACATAAGGCTTAGGCATAAATACTAGAACAAAGAATCACTCAAGAATTTAGGCCGGCACAAGGAAACCAGGCTTTCTGAAGGACAAGAAAAATGTGGTTTCTGGGGATGTTGCCCTGTGAATCATAACCAAGGAGGACTTTTTGTTTTGAAAGCCACAGCATGCACATTCATGTAAGCAAAGGCCATATTCACTCTAATACTTAAAGGTTCCACACACTTCAGAAAATTGGGGAAAAAAGCGACTTTACTCCCAGAATTTGGGTTATACAGGAAACTACCCTTACCCACTGTGATTAAGTTGTTATAATTTTCTAGCATCACATTCCGGTACAGGTTCCTTTGAGCAGGATCCAACTGCTGCCATTCTTCCTGGGTGAAGTCAATAGCCACATCTTTGAATGTCACTGTTCCCTGTAACAACACACTCCTACTCAATCTGAAGTCATCCACCTTAGATGCTGTGGGCAAAACATATTGAACTGTGTTCTCACGGTATGCACAGGTAAAAGGTTTTAAAAAAAAAAAAACTTACCTAGTTTTGTAATCATCTAAAAGAAAAAAACATTACCAACATCTTGTCGGTTTATGTTCGTTTACTAAATTAGCAAGCGCATATCTTTAATAACCACCAAAGGTTAAAGAGATTTTAGGCACCAATTTATACTGAGTGTGGAAAATGGGGGGAATATACAATTTTACTCAAGTTACTCATTTGGGAACTCACTAGATGCCTGTGATTCAATGAGGCAGGAAAAAAATGAAACCAAGATTTGGATGGAAGCAAAGCAGGGAGAGGAGGATATAGAAAATTTGTAGTATGGTAGAACATTCAACTAGAGATATACATTGATTTAGCAGATGGACATATTCATTGCACAAGAAGTCTACAATGAAATGAGGATTTTATTATTGTTCCTAAGCCTATACTAGGTGTCAGCAGCCATGAAAATGGGATATGGCTGCTCAGAGTTCACATATATTTAAAAAAGAGGGCTACAGACAGAATCATATAAATATCAACGGAAGAAAAAAGATTTATTAAGTTTTCTAGTGCTTTGAACTACAGTTACAAGCAGAACTATGAGAAAACATCAATAATGCTTTAGAATGTATTTCGCAAATGAGATGTGGGTGACAAATTGCTTCAAAGCAGTATGATTTGTTTGCCATTAATTTTTTACAGTTTTAATATAATGTGCCTTGGAGAAGGCCTTTTTGGATTGAGATAATTAAATTTTTTGTTTGCTTCTTGAATTCGAGGATCTAGTTCTTTCCATTAGTTCTTTCCATTAGTTCAGTTCTCATTATTTGCTTGAACAGGCTCTCTGTTTCCTTCTCCCCATCTTCTTCTTCTGGTATCCTTTATTGTTCTTATATTGCTCTTTCTGATGGAATCAGATAGTTCTTGTAGAATTCTTTCATTTTATATATTTGTTCATTTATTTATTCATTTATTTATTTTTATTTTTTAGGCGAGGCAACTCTTGGTTGACCTCTCAGATTGCAAGGATCTTGTCAGTTTACAATCCCTTATTCTTTTATTTTTTACGCCTATAGCACCTGGTCTTCCTAGGTGGTCTCCCATCCAAGTACCAACCAGGACCGATCCTGCTTAGCTTCCGAGATCAGACGGGATCGGGCTTGTTCAGTGCAGCATGGCCACAGACTCATTTTTTTTAACTCTCAAGTCTCTCTCTTCTTCCAGCCTAATCATTTCCAGATTTCCATCTTTGATATCACTAATTCTTTCCTTCATCTGGTCCACTTTGTTTCCTAAGCTCGCTATTTCATTCTTCATGTCTTTGAGTTCTTCAGCTCCGGAATTTCTATTTGGTTATTTTTTAATTTTCAATCTCTTTGGTAAAGTATTCTTTTCATTCACTGATTTTATTTCTTAGTTCATTAAACTGCCAATTTGAGTTTTCTTGTACCTTATTGAGTTTTTTCAGAACTGTAATCTTGAATTCTTTGTCATTTAAATCACATATTTCTTTATCTTTACGTTTACTTTCTGGAGGTTTTTCATTTTCTTTCTGAGCTGGCTTGTTACCTGAGTTGTTCATGGTATTTGATGGATTATTTCTCCACATAGGCATTTACGGGAATGAACTCTGCTTTTCAAAAAAATATTTTTAAGAGTAATCCCTCTTCAGTAGGTTGATAAGAAGAGGTTTTTCTTTTGTTTTCCAGTAGGTAGTACACAAGTCTCCTGCACTGCCCAGGCCTCCCAGATCTCTGCTGTGTGGCAAAAAAAAAAAAAAAAGACCTTTATTCCCGTGGGAAAATGTGTGGGCAGCGGGGTTTTGGGTCCAAGCCCCTGAAGAGCTCCTGAACTCATGGTGCTGACCCAGAGCCAGATGCAGTGTTGTGGTGCCTGAAGTATCTCAGATGCCTCTGCCAGGTAGGGGTGGGGTGGGCTGGGAGAAGCTGTTGGTGTGGTTGTGGCTGTTTTCCTCCCAGTAATGGTGACTGCCAGGCTTCAGCTGCCTCGCCTCTGTATCTCCACCCATCACTAGGACCAGCAACAGTGTGTGTCTGCCACTGAGAAGCTGTTTCCTCAGTTCCTGGGGCTGCAGATTCCCTGCTCTGTATCTTGACACTCGGTGCTGCAGATTCCCTGGGGGCCCACTGCTAGCTCTGGGAAGCTGAGGGGAGGAGAGCTCAGGGAAGGTCAGGGGAGGCAGCCTGGCTCCACGACCCCATTCTCCTTCTGTTTGCACATAGCTGTAGCATCTCTGCCCTTATCACTGGTTCCACTGTAGTATATGCTGATCACTCAGACAGAAATGCTCAGGGCTACAAAAAGTGCACACACCAACCTTATTCCTCCCCTCTCCCCAAGTTTCACAGCAAGTTCTAGGCTGTGTCCATGGCACCTGTCTCTGTCCTCCCTGTTTGCCCCAATTTGCCCACCTTCGGATGCTTTGATGTGCAGATCTCTCAGAAGTGTTTTTGTGTTAGGCTGGAAATCTTCTGTTGGATTATAGCTGTTCAACTTGTACTCTCAAGGGGTGGGATCAAGGGGACCCCTTACGACACCATTCTTCTGACGTATAAGCAAAAACGATGTGATTTGAATATTAGAAATATAACACATTTTTCCTAGTTAAAAACTGATGTCCAAAAGAATGTAACTATACAAAAAAAAAATCTTCAACAGCACTATAACAAAGGGAGCTCTGTCCATATTTCTTGCCCTTTGAGAAATTTCTATGGGAGATAGGTGAGATAAGAAATAACCAGGATCTAATTCACGATCACTGTTTCTAAGAATTTATTTCTAGATCCTAAAAGGACTCTATGAACATAAACATCCACTAACACAAAAGGTTCAGAGTAGGCTATGGGACATGGGAAATCCTCTTTTGGAACCCTTTTCTGCTGAAGATCAAGGCCTTTGAATTAAATAGATTTAAGAAACCAAAGGCAATTATGACTGAAAGACATCCCTCATTTGCTTCCTCCTTCCCCACAACAACAATTTGGCATCCATCCATGTCCAAAAGTACCTTTGTGGGAGCTGTGGGATCCAGCACTATATGTCAAGGGACTTAGGAAGAGTATTGCCAACACATGCATTGGATAATGGACATACAGACCTCAGTCCCAGATGTGGACTCAGCAGTGGCCCATGAACCAATTTTAGTCCCTCTTGGCCATGTTCCAGGAACCCCTGAAAAAACTGTCTTAGACAATCACACATGGATGACAGAGCCTTTGTGAAAGTCCAGGTCTCCAGCAGAGAAGTTCCAGCACATCACTGGAGCAAAAAATTTATTTGGATTCATCAGAGATGGTAAGAACAAATTGACTTTACTCGCATCATCAAAGGTAGTACCTCTCCCTCAAGGTAGTACAGCTTAAGGCCATGAGAGACCCTCTTGGTCCATGATCTCATCCACAGAGAAAAGTGAGAGTGTGTGAGTGAGCACCTGGCTTCCTAACTGTACAGGATAGTGACAGAGAAGCTCATTTCTATCTTGCCCCATCCAGAGTACTGAATTCTAAGCTGCATGACAGTGGGAAGGAAAAGTCTGGGAGAACGGAACATAGGACTCTCATAGGGCATTAAGGGACATGATCCTACTAACTGCATTGTAAACTCCCCAAAAAGCCTGCCCATAAGCTTCTGGGTATGCTTTGCCTCCAGAGTCCCAACTGCCACAAGGGCACACCTAGAGCTCTGCAGGCCTCACTGCCACACACTCTCACATTGTACTTGGCTCCCTGTGCATGCTCCCAATGGTGGTGGTCAGGGCAAGCTTTGGCAGATGAGTAATGAGCATGTACAGAGAGTCAGGCTGAATCTGCAGGTCAGGGAAAGACCACAAACGTGAGTTTAGCACTGCCTTTGGGAAAACAAAAGTGAGTCTCTCAGCGAGCACTCTGCCTGGTGTGTTGTAGGCTCAAGAGAGAGAATATGAGTTTAAGAATTCTGCCACAAGAGGGAGCAAGAAGAGGGGAGTGGGTATATCCAGAGAAGTTCTGTAAAGTCTCAGAATCTCTAGCAGGGCTGACGAAAGTTGTTTTCTGAAAGTAGTTAGTAAAAACTGGAGAAGGTGACTGTTTCAATGCAAAACTTCAAGGAACATGAAAAATCAAGGAAACAATACCACAAAATAATCACAATAATCTTCAAGAAAGATCCCCAAAACATGGATATCTGTGATTTTCCAAATAAAGAATTCAAAGTCATTGTTTTAAAGAAACTCAAAGAGCTACAAGAAAACACAGAAACACAATTCAACAATATCAGGAAAAAAATACATGAACAAAATGAGAAGTTCAACAAAGAGGGGGGAAAAAAAGAACTGAACAAATTATGGAGCTGAAGAATACAATGAATGAAATGAAAAATGACCATCAACAGCAAAATAGATTAAGCAGAAGATAGAATCTTGAGTTAGAAAACAGGAACTGTGAATTATCCAGTCAGAGGAGAAAAAAGAATGAAGAGAATGAACAAGCCTATGTGAATTATAGGATATCATCATCAAATGAAACTATATTCATATTAAGAGAATCTCAGAGTAAGAAGAGAGAGAAATGGGGCAAAAAGATTATTTAAATAAACATTGCCTGATAACTTCCCCCAAATGGGGAGACTTTTTGATAACTATGTTCATGAAGCTCAGAGATTACCAAACAAATTCAATTTAAAGAAATCCTCTCCAACATACACTGCTGGTGGGACTGCAAATTGGTACAGCCACTATGAAAAACAGTATGGAGGTTTCTCAAAAATCTAAGAATTGATCTACCATATGATCCAGCAATCCTTCTGCTGGGTATTTACCCCAAAGAATTGAAAATTCATTATCTGAAAAGATATTTGCACGCTGATGTTCATAGCAGTATTATTCACGGTGGCCAGGACTTGGAATCAACTGAAGTTGATTCCAATAGATGAC